GAAATAATTTCCCCCATAATTGGCCACCGGGATCACCGGACCTAAACAAATGTGATTATTTTCATTGGGCAATGCTAAAAGAATCTGTATATTTTACACGAGTGGAATGACATATGGAATCTCATTATTAATAAATGTAATTTAATACAATATGATGACTGTGAGGATTCAGAGTAGATTTTTATATTAGGCGAAAAATAAATTTATGCCCTAGAGAAAATGGTCATTTTACAGTTTATCTAACTTTTATAGTCTATTAATTTTTTAAATTACATAGCACAACAGTTTTGTTTATTGTTGTCTCATTAAGAAGTTTTGTTGAAACAATTTTAGTGTGTTAAAAAATTGTGCTTGTTTCTTAAAACTGTTTGCTGAAGACTAAAATTAAATCTGTATCTATTAATTGGAGCTCCACTAATTAGCATCTTACGATACCTCAATAACCTTAACCTCACAGTCAATTTATAACCCTTAAGCCCAGTACTTTGAGTCTCGGTAAGGCTTGGTTAAGTAATCACATGAATAGACTGTACATATACTGATTTATTTTATAATAGTATATTCACAGTCTAATCGCCGGATTAGTTAATCAAGTCTTAACCGAAACTCAAAGTATCAGGCCTTAATGTATCTAAATCGTATACCAAATTTGTTGTTATAGAAATCACAATTTTATTTTAGTTTTTCCTCAATAACTTCATCATTAATTATAGGAAATACAGTATAGACTCTTTAATACGAACTAATTAAAACACGGGCTTAAAGAGATAAGTTCGAATTACCGATATTTTCGGATTACTGGATAGTAAATATGTACATATGTAAATATGTTTATGTACATACATATAATATGAATTATATTTTATGTGTTACTGAGAAGGCAACAATAAAACCAAACATTATCGTAAAATATGTCGTATAAATACCGACATGTTTGCACGGCAATAATATTTCAACTCAAAAAATCTAACCAAGAAAGGTTCCGACTCGCATAAAAGGATTTCCCCGAGATTGCCGGGAAATTACATTTTTAGCGGTTACTTTTTATTATGTGGTCTCACTTTATAATCCGAACCATATACGTTAAACCGAATTTTGTTCGAATTAAAGAGTTTTGTTCGGACCATCGAAACGGACATTCGTCGGGTCGTCGGGCCGGATTGATGGATATTCGGATTAAAGTGAGTTCGGATTAAAGAGTCTATACTGTAGTTAAAACTTGGTACAGGGGAGTTTTTTGACATGATAAATTGAAATCTGGTATCGAATTTGCTGTAAACTATTGGCGGGAGACACCTATAATACTTTACATGCATTTAAATTGTCGTAACATTTTTATGCATATTGCATGCATTTGTGTATATTGAATATTTAATCAAAAATTCTGATACTCCTACGTTTTTTTTTTCTAAAAGAAAGGTATACCTGATAAATTTCCTATGAACAACCGTTCTTTGGATATCCGGATTTAAATGTTTCGTTTCGTCATTGCCTTGCTTCCCACTTCTCCAAGCTTAGGATTGGTCGAAATTAGTTCTAAAATTTTGGATCGTGTTTGGAGGCCAACAACAATAAAAATTAAAGACCAACAACGAGAGGTAAAAGCCAACAGGCCAGGAACAATAAAAATTACAAAAAAAAAAAGTTGTGAAGATGAGAATATAAAAAAGACGGGCGTAAGTTAATTCAATTTACTGAAAGCCAAACTGACCCTTGTTTTTTGGGACATAAGTGTTAATTTTTCAAAGAAAGTTGAAGTGAACTCTTCCTTTAGCAATGCGCTACCACATGTGGTTTATGCAGAACGGATTTTACTTTAAATGTATTTAACCATTTGAATGAGCATTTTCCAAATAGATGAAATGATAGAGGAAATGAAGTTGCTGAGGGTTGCCGCCACGCTCATCAGATCTAATATCGTTAGATTATTTTCTATGGGAAACTTTAAAATCCATGGTATTCTCTACATTTGTAAACACTAAGGAAGAGTTGTAGAGAATAATACCGAATGCTGCCCTTATTTTAAGGACAGTTCAATTCTCTTCGATTAATTAACCTCTGTTTCCAAGAAAATGGGCGTCATTTTGAACATTTAAATTTAAATAAATTGAATTAACTTACTCCAGTTCTTTTTTTTCTTATTCTTCAGTATTTTTTTTGTAATTTTTATTGTTCTTAACCCATTGGCATCTACATACCTGTAGTTGTTGATCCATTAACCTTTGAATTTTGTATTGTTGTTGGCTCATGAGCCTCCAAACACCCTGTAAGATTTTATAACTAGTTTGGACCAATCCTAAGTCTGGATAAATTGGGAAGGAAGACGATGACGAAATTATGAAACGAAGCCTTTAATATAGATATACAAAAACCAGTTGTTTAAATCAACAAATTCGAAATCAGATTTCAATTTCTCATGTCATAAAACTCTCCTATACCAAGTTTTATGTATTTACTATAATTAATAATGAAGTTATCGAAGAAAAAGTAAAATAAAATTGTAACTTCAGCAGCTTGCATCTCAGACAGTAACAAATATTGGACTAAAATAACTGATTAGATCATCATATTTTGACCCCATGAATATGTGGTAGAATTTTGTCCAGACCTTTTAAAGACACTCTGCATACTGTTTTTGAACTTGTCTTGTTAGTCCATTGAAATGAAGGCTGAACCTCCATTTTTTCCTCTGTCGATCAAACCTGGGCGCAAATATGTTTTCGACCCTCAGGAATCCGAATCCGCAAAAATTTTTGACCTAGGTGGTCAGGAAAGGGGTCAAAAGGTCAAAAAACCGTAAAAAATAAGGTTTTTCGCAAATATCTCGTAAACTACGGCAAGTAGCAAAAAAATAATTGCACCATCGTGTTCCCAGGGAAATTTTACATCGATTTTATGCTATTGCTTATTAAAATTAAATAAATTTATGTCAT